AGAATGGATTTGATTTTGTATCCGCAACTTGTTCGTGTTGCCAAACGATTTAGATAAACACATATCGTTTGCAATCCTCTGCCATAGTAATCATGTTAATTTTAACATTCGGACTGGGGATTAAGTATGTTCCTACTTATATATAAGGAGTGGAGGCTGCCAGCGAGATTGAGGCTACGCCATATTGGCTTTCATACTTCCGATTTTATATTCATTTGACACATTTACACTAATGTGCGCTTCCTAAAATGATACGAGACATTTACATGCCAATGCGCAATCGAATTCTAAATATAATTTATTGAGGTGCTATGATTCCGTTCAGACAGAAATCTTGCCTTATCCTTTAGCAAATGGTGGCATGGATATAATCAAATGTCTTCCGAAAGTAGGATAGTAAATTTTCAAATCATATTATTTTTTTAATGAAAAATGGAATTTAAAATATGTCCCTAATTGCTTGACAAGATTATGCAGTCTTTTTTATTTTGTAATACTTTAAGATAGGCTTAAGAATATAGGGAAAACAACAGGAAACGGAAGATTATGGAGGTGCTGGACATCTTCTTTCATATAAACCTTATGAATAAGAGATTGGAAGTGGGAAGATTTAGCGATTATTCCGCGTAATTTTTAAGCAGATTTGGAGATTCAGCAATGACATCAAAAAGAAAAAGCTTGGACCCAGGACAACTGTTCAACAACAGGAAGATACACCACCAAGAAGTGGCTCATGAGGAGCGAAGGGAAATCAAGAAAATACGACTACTGCCAATACGCACACAGGAATATTATCCCAGTACCCTAAGTTTGGATGGGAATGTCAACTAAAGAGACGAGAGGAGTTTAATTTTCGCGGTTCAAAGGATACAAGGAAATCGGTGCATTCCCGCACTAGCGGTTTTGACTTAAGCCGGACACAGGGCCATAAAGAATTAGACAATGTGGATAGGGATAATGGAGAGGATAATCGAGTCATGGATCTGACCTAGGGAGAGGATTCCCAGGCACTGGAATGTTCATGGGCATGAACATATGTATCATCTGCTCTAAATCCTCAAATATGGCTTACTCTTAGGCCGTCAAAGGGACTAGCCTCACTTGCCACTGATACGTTGTAATTATGTCCTTACGATGCAGGTGAAACGTTTGGGAATGTACCCAGCCGATGCCCCAATGCTGAAAATCACGAATACTATGACAGAGGACTCGGGACTAAGTACCTTCCACAAGGTCTCCCTGACATTGCAATCATGTTGCGAAAACCAGGTCGAACCAAAATTATAAAGCTGAATGAAACTGCGACCAAACATAAGGTCACACCATCTTGGCCCTCATATTTACGATTTAAGAATTCTTCCCTATTCTGTATATTTTTTCATAAACGGATCTATTTCAACATCGATCCATTGGTGTTAAACCGGGGACCAACTTACATTAGCCTAGATAGAATAATGGCTTGACTTCCCAATATATTATTCTTTCGTCCTTATATGTGAACACATTTTTAGAAATTTTCGCTATCTTGCAACAATAATTTTGCTCTTTTTTCTAGAATATCGCTATTTCTTTACGTTAAAATTATTACTTTTATTTGAGTTAAATGGATGTCTTAAGAGGCTAAGGAGGAGCAGTTATAAAAAAGGATGAGGTGTATTCACCCTCTTGTTTCAGGTGATAAGAGGATTGTTAGTTGAATTTTCCCTCAATAATCTGAGGGAAAGTTCGAAATTGCAGTCTACCTTGGATGAGAATTCATTTTAGGACAGCAAGGCTATGCGAAAGTCAATATAAACCTAATGTCTACCTATATCATTGTGATAAAACTCAAATACCAGTCTCTATATTTCCTTAAACGAAATACGATGACTACACCTTATATGTATATATGGTTGTAAACCATTAATAACAAATGTTGCAAGCCTTAGCATACTTGTAAACATGGAATTATAACTAAAACCTATGGAAACCCAGAATGATAGACTCCCACAGTGTCTACGAAGTGGCAAACTGTAGAATAGG